TGAAGTCCCCAAAAGCTAAATTCTGTGGGTCTATTTTCTTTTCTGTAATCACGTACCCTCCCTTCTTTTTTTCCCCTTTCCCCTTCCTATCTCTGAATCTATCTTGACAATCCAGTTTAACAGGGACGTACATATGAAAGCATTTTGGGGTCCCTAGCGGGGACACATGAATACAGTCCTGAAGTCCTTAATAAATGACATCAGGTCACAGGTGGTACAGCCCTCACTGATTTAGATCAATTCTAGCTATCAACACTTAATAACCTTTGTGGATAAAATACAGAACATACTAGTCTGCAATAATATCAATGACCATTCAGTTCTTCACATTACTGACCATTGTGAGAACAGAGATATCTATCTGAGAACAAACCCAAGAGAAAGTTGTTCCCATTAAAATAGTGGGACTTCAGACTTTAGAATTGAGGCAGAAACCCCCAGACATCATTTTATCTTGATCAGTTTTCAGAAACCACATAAATGTTATTTTGATTATTGAAAAATAAAAATATCCCTCCAGGGCAGAAGTACAGTAATGGTTATGGCACGTGCCTTCTTCAGTCTGCAGTTAATTATTGAATATTTAGGTAAAGACCCTGCGAGCTGGAAACTACATGCCTGTTAATAGCGACATCTGCTGGTAACCCAGGAGTATGGTCTGCCCCATTAGGAAGCTCTGTTCTTTGGCACTGAATCACACACAGTTAACTCTTAGCAGGAAACTGTTTTCTATTTTGTGGATTTTCTAGGTCTTTAGAATTCTAGATAATATGTGTAGACACTCCCCACTCCCACCCAGGATGTGGAATTATCCCCTCCCCCACTCTCTGGAGGGTGGGTGGATTCAAAGACTCACAAAGAATAAAGTATGGAAAGAGAAAAATAATTTTAGAGTGGGAAGATGTCTGATGGACAACACCTTAACCAGGTGACCAAGGTGAACATCACCGGTGATGTGTGGATACAAGGTGCCCCTGATGTGATGTGAGCAGAGCATACTTTACTTCCGTGGGATTCTTCCCCAAAACCCACCACCTCTGTCTAACCACACCCAACCAAACCATGCTGGGGGTCATTCTACAAAATGCCTGATCAGTGCTCTTCATAACTGTCAAGGTCATGAAAAATGAGGGAAGACTGAGACACCGTCACAGATCAGAGGACACTAAGGAGGCACCGCGACTCAATGCAGTGTGGCCTCCCGGATGGGATCCTGAACAGAAAAAGGACATTCGTGGAAAAACTGGTGAAACCCAAATAAAGTCTGGGGTTTAGTCAATTGTAAGACACCCATGTTGGTTTCTTAGTTTTGACAAATGCACCGCAGTATGTAAGATGAAACACTAGGGGAAACTGAAACTGGATGAGGGGTCTATGAGAATACCCTGTACGATCTTTGTAAATTTTCAGTACATTTCCAAGTACTCCAAAACAAAAAGGTTATTTTTTTTAAAGTGTTAAGTATTTGCTCGATGCCCATTTTGGGGTGATTTTTGGCGGGGGAGGTAATTAGGCTTATTTATTTATTTTTAGAGGAGGTACTGGGGACTGAACCCAGGACCTCGTGCATGCTAAGTTATAGCCTCCCCTCCTGGACTTCCACTTTTTATGCAGGACATTCTTGAGGACAACACTTCATATTTGAGGAATGTCACTGACTAAAACTTGTTTTCATATACGTTCATTTAAACATCCCTGGCAGCCTGCAAGGCAGGCAGATGGGACTATTTCTGTCTCTATAGACGAGGAAGCAGAGACTCAGAAGTTCTATCCTCCTCACAGTTCTCAAGGAGTAAGAAGCTGAGCCAGACGCCACCCAGGACTGGTGGCTCCCCTCCGGGACTCTTTCTACACCTTCCAAGCTTCTCACTTTTAAGTTCCAATAGTAGCAGTTCTGTTGGGAGTGACTGACACAATCATAGTGGGAGTGATTGACACGAGGTTGTTAGATTTCATGTACTCATGTTCTCCCGGCGAGTGATTTGAGTGTGAAAAATAGTAATGAATGCTGTAAGGAAGAAAAATGAAATGGGAAAGAAAAAGTCAGAGTTCCAATATTTACTCCCAGACCTCATCATGAAGTAATAACATTCTCTCTGCCAAGAAAAATCCCTCTCATTCTTTGAGGCTTGGCTCAAGAATGACTGGACAGGTCCTTTCTCCAGGCTCCCCTCTAGGTACGCGGAGCACGCATCTCCAAACTCTGTACCTCTGTAGTACTTTTAACTGCTTCTTTGTTTGTTTGGGGGGAATAAATATTAGAAATACACATTCATATTTTGCTATATATGAAATGACTCTCCCAACTCTCCTTTTATTTTTTTCTATCCATATTCAACCGTCAAATATGTTTTTCCCTAGCCAAATGGCTCATTGTGGATGGGCATGTTAAATGCCTTAAGTTAAAAGTCTCAAACTCAAGTCTGAAGAGACCAGCAAAGGAATATAAACAGTTAAAGTAGACAGAAAAGTCAGTTGGCCTCTGTCTCTTATTTTCTCACTTTTATAAGACCTACAAAAACTGGTATTTTTCTACTATAGGAAAAATGGTACTTGATGTTAAGTGGTAACTGACATTTAGCCTCAGTATTTGCAGGGGAACAGGAGAGAGGCATGGATTGTGGCAAACAGGAAGCGCGTGGCATGTTTAAAGGGACAGAACTGTTTTGTTTCGAGCAAGTGTTGCCTTGAGGAAATTCAAGGACAGTATTGATAAACATCTTTTTCTTTTTTTTTTAATTCAAGAAAAGCTGGCAATTTGAATTTTTATATGAAACCAGTCTTTAAGTTTTGGCTTAGCTTTAGTTAAAATTCTGGGCTGGCTCAGTGAGATGTGTGTGGTCCCAGTTTGGCTTACATATGCCAGTTTGCAGCCTCTGATTTAAAGAACCTGTCAAGATTCATATCAAAAGAAAGTATTGCTTTGAGAGCTTTCTAGAAGAAACGTTTGCCTTATCAACCTGGGGCTGATTTCAGAAATTCCACTGCTGACCACCCTTCTTCTGAATTAAAAGGGTGTTCTCTATTCAAAATGCAATTATCTCTTAGAAAGTAACATAGTAAGTTGTCATTAGAGACGTAACCCTTAATGTAAATAATTACATTAGATCCTTTAACCTGCTGCATAATAAGACATGAGGCTAGAAGGAAACCGACATAGCACGTAAGACTGGAGGTACAAGCCACTCAGGACAGAAAACAGCTAAAAGCTACGTGTTAGGGTCTAAAATTAAAACTTCTACTTCATGATCATTACTGTATGTGCTCATTACTGTATAATATTTATTTGTATGAATATTCCACAATTTATTCATGTATTCAGTTGATGAACTTTTAGTTTCCAGTGTGATCCATTACAAAGAATGTTACTACTGATTTCCTGTTCATATGTCGCAGACATTCTCTTTGGATGTCCTTCCACAGTGGGATTGCTCTATCAAGTTTTGTAAAGAATTCCAAAATCTTCTCCAAAGTCCTTGTACTAATTGATACTTGACTAGGGGAATGTGACCTTATACTCTCCACGCTCACTCACATTCGAGTGTGCAATGAAACTTCATTGTGTTTTAATTTGTTTTTTTCTGATTATTAATCATGTTGAGCACCTTTTCGTTATGTTTATTGACAATTAAATATTCTCTTTTGTGAATTTTCTGTCCAGATCCTTTGCCCAGTTTCTGTTAGGTTACATAGAGGGGATTGAACAAATATACTAAGGCTAACAGAAACCAAGTTGCTTACTGTTTGAGAGGGAGTTATTTTCACAGGAAGGAAGAAAACAAAATAAATCCTGCGGTGTTGACTGGAAATGGAAGGATCGATGTAAACTTGTGGTTTTCGATATATATATAGATGGATATGTAGATATCTCTGTAGGCAGGAAAAAGCATGGGATAAACCTGGAACATATTATTATGACAGGAAGAAAACAAATACTCAATGATGTAATTGTACCAAAAGGACACAGAAGCCAGTCTGGAAAGCCTCCCTCTGGCCAAGTCTGAGACAATTGGAGCATAAAAAATAAATAATAATGAAAATGGATCATGACTCTGAATAAAATAGGAAACTATGAGTCCTAAACAAACAAATTTTAAACTTGTTTGATGAAAAATGGGATATTTACATAGTTGCAAATGACTTTCCATGAAACGTTTATTAAACAGAAATGAGAAAGGCATAATTTACAGTGAAGAATTCTGGCAGGCATCACCTTAATCAAAAGATCAAAGTGAACATCACCAGTCACTGGACAAATTAAAATTCTGTACCACCTGGTAAGATGCAATAACAACACAGCATCAAGCACAGTGATGTTCCCATCAGTAACTCATAGTGAATCTCATCGTCAGGAAAATCAAAGAAAGTGAAACTGAGGGACATTCTATAAAGTGACTGGCCAGGATCTTCACAAGTGTCAAAGTCATAAACATTAAGAAAGGTTGAGAAACTGTCCCAGACTGAAGAATAAAGACACGTGACAAATAAAGACATCCTATGATTCTGAACTATGTCTTTGGTGATCTTTGGTGAAACTTAAATGGGCTCTGAGGATTTTTTTTTTCAAGATCAGCAAGTAATTTATTACGATTCAGCGTGTGGCCAAAGGGCCAGGACAGGTTTAGGAGGAGAGTAAACAACTGGGGTGCCGGTGGCGTCTGGGTCAGTCCACGACAGTCTGCCCAAGGCTTCCGTGGTTGGGGGGGAGGGTGTCTGCGGTCACCTCTGTCCACTGTCCCTAGGCTGGTTGGGCTCCTGCGGGGCTTCCTTCCCCCCTCCCTCCAGCGTCTGCGCCTCCTCCCCGCATCCGGCAGCTCCAAGCCCAGCGGTGGCACAAGGGACCAGCAGGGACTTCAGAGTGCACTCAGCGGCCGTCAGGAGGGCAGGCACTGGCCGCCCGCGCAGCCCGGATACCCTGGTCGCAAGCACTCAGCTGCGCATCCTGTGCTGGCCTGTCTGGCGCCCCAGCCTGTAGAGGGCGCCCTCCACGTCCGCGCCAGGGGCCGCCGGGTCCCACGGGGTCCCGGAGGGTTGAGGAGCTGAGTCGGAGCCAGAACGGGAGCGGCTGCCCTGGCGCGCAGTGGCCGACGCCACGATGTAGGATGCACGGGGTGCGGAAGCCGCGATGCGTGCAGCCGGGTCACGCTGCCTCCGCGCCAGCGCCGCCTCCGCGCCAGCGCCGGGCAGGTCTTCCGAATTCTCCCCCGCTAGAAAATTCTCACCTCTACTCCCTGTACAGGTGGATGTCCTCAGAGGACGTGGTGGTGCTGCTGGCAACACAAAGAGCCAGGACATTTACACAGCCAGTACATTCTCAAAGTTATTTTCCTGACTTTGATGTCTTTGCTGTGGTCACGTTTGTGAGAAACATAAACGTATTGGATGTGATGGGTGTCGGAGTGGGATTTGATTTTAACCATATGACAAGCTAATCAGTTAGCCTGTTCCTATTTCACAGACGCTGGCAGAAGACAAAAGAGGCTTGGATCAGAGACAAAGGATTTTATTACTCATGGCACAGGAAGCAGCGTGAAAATCATTTTTATTTTGTCCCTTTTTCCCCGAAGTCCCAGGGGAGCAACACAGAGGGCCCAGATGGCCCCTGCACGTGCAGTGGGCTGTAATAAGGAAGAAATACCGAACTCGGGGAACCTGCTGTTTTATAGCAGTGAGCCTACTCTTTGCCCAGAATATTGCTTCATCCCTCAAGGTCGCTCACTGCAAAAAGAACCCTGATGTATACCTAAAGGAATAGTGTGTGTGACCAGCAAAAACATGGACAGGAAGTTCTGTGGCAGTATTCATATTATTTGTACTATCGCAAGATTGTGAAAAATTTAAGTGCCCATCAACGGTGTATAAGTAAATTACAGTGTATTCAAAACTGAAAGGAAAGGAATGCACTGTTCCATAAAACAACATGGATGAATCTTACAAATCTAAGGTTAAATGATTGCATCCAGATATAGAAAATATATAGTTTCATTTACAAAAAGTTGAAAAACGGATGAAACTAGTCTATGGAGCTAGAGGTCAAAAGAGGCCCTGGAAGCACTGACTTGAGGGGGGGCCTGAGGGAGCCTTCTGAGTTGCTAGTGCTTGTTTTTTCTTCATCTGTGCGGTGGTTCCAGGGCTGTGATAATTTATTGACCTGAACACTCAGGATATGTGTAGTTTTCTGTTTTATTTCAACAAAAGATTTAAATGTGAAAAAATTGCTAGTGCATGTTTACATAAGTGAAATAATACACAGATGTGTAAAGGAAATGCTAACACTCGCCTGGCTTCCTTGTCTCCTGGGGTACCCATTGTTAACGGGCCAGTCTGTATCCTTTCATATCGTCTCCTTGTTAAACAGGCAAGTATAATCATCTATACACAAATGTCTCTGGTTTCTCTTTCTTGTTTCACTGTTTGCTTTTATCCATTATATAATATAATTTATAGACTTTAAACTCTAATATTTTTCATGGACAATTTGTCATGGACTTTCTATAAGTCAATAGCTTCTGTTGGAATTTTTACGTCTAATTTTTCTACCCACACATTTATAATTTTATGTAAATAAGTACATACATTGTCATCATTTTGTGAAGCCTTTTTTTCAATGTAGTCCCCCTTCTGCCCGTGGTTATTTTTCTATTTATATTACCATTTATAAATGCATAATGTGTATTTAATCATTCATGTATATAAAATGAAAATTTATAGAGATGTGTAAAACATGTTCATATTAATATTCTCATTCTTATTAATTTTAATATTTCTACTCTATCTTGTTCCCAAAATACACGTAATGTAGCATTTTTGCCAATGTAATAATCCATGCTCCATATAGTGCATGGACATTCAAAATATTATACAAACATACAAAGCTTTTTGTAAATACAGCATTTTAAAGGTAGAAATAGTGTTAATAGTTTCACTTTTCATCACATTTGAATATTTGGAGAAACAGTACTTTCTTTGAATTAAACATAAGGCTTTTCAGAGTATATTGTTTGTACCTACTGGAAGCAAATAGAAATATTAGGCTCAATAACATGCATTTATTTTTCTGTTCAATACCTACATCTTATCTTCCTATCTCTGCTGGGGAAAAATCTCATTATTACATCATTAATATTATCGCTTATATGGCGTTACAGGCAATTAACTAGGTGTTCCTTTGTTATACTGAATTTAACTTAGCCCTTACCTTTTGAAGGATAGCATAATGTCAACAAATAATTGTTTGCTTTTTATTTTTTAAGAAAAATCACCCTGTAAATTGACATCTATTGCTTCAGAAATCAAGTTTAATTAACATGTAGAATTAAAGCCAATGGCATTTTATGGCATTTTCATTTTTTTCTTTATGAAAAAATAAAATTTACAAATGTGTATGTTGCTTTATAAAGTTAAGTGGGAATGAGGAACACCAATTCAATGACTTCAAAAGAAATTTTCACTTCAAACTCCATCATCATAACTTTGTGTCAGGCATGGCAAAATATCCAGACATATACTTCACCAGAAATTATTCTGATGTTGATTTCCTATCAGAGGCAGGTGATTTATAAGCCTTTTAGTGTTAATAACAAAATTAATAACAGGGCTTATCCTTTACCCTAAGAAATAGGAAATAGGCTTTAGAAACAAGACACCAAGCAGCAGCCTGGAGTTAGGCAAGAAAAAGGAGAGAGGATCTCTCCTTGTATATTGTCATTCATCTGATACAGTTTTTGGTCTGAGGTCCTGAAGAGAGACTGAGTCTGGTTTCTGCTAATTAGGCTTTGGCATCATACCTTGATTAAAGAGCTTCCCTTTAAGAAAAGTCTTTTTTCTCTACTCTGAGATCACTAGAACACGCTGTTTTTGCTCCTTCAGTCGTAAAAAGTAGGGCTGGGTCCGTAACACTCGTCAACGTCCCATCAGGCCTCTCACACCGAGATGCTGCTTCTTCACAAAGGTTGCTGCTCATCTGCTCTCATGCCTTCCCAAGTTCTTCTATTGGCTCTTCTCTCCTCTGGCACAAAGTGCCAGCTGGTTTGGGTGGCTCTGTTCCTCGGCCTCATGATTGAATTTCTTGTTCAGAATGAACCATTCCACCTCTGACACCAGGCAGCCCTTCAGCTCTTTAAACAGATTGGTCCAAAACTGCAAAGCAAATAACCCCAGGGGTCAGTTATTCATTAGGAAGGATGTAATCATTCATAATCATAGGCCAATTGCTGGAGAGCAGTTCATTTCTTACTAACCAGTCACTGTTGACAGTTTTGCTTTCAAATCTCCTATAATAGAGTCTCACTGACTTAGGACTTGCTGTTTCTGTGCAATTGTAGCTTTAAGCTGACAAAAAACTGCATTGCATTAATATTTTAAATTAAAATCAATGATTACTCTAGCACAGTGACAGAACGCTGCTGCTGAATGCCACTGAATTTCTCATTAATATTAATTTGTAGTTTGTAGAGAAGCAGCTTAACAACCATTGAGCTACACACATACAATTCTAATATTGATGAACTGAGCCCTATAGGTCTGTGGTCATGAAAGAAATTGCTCTTGGCTGCCTCTGTTTGATTTTATGGTCTTTCTTAGCATTTTCAAAATTCATCATGTTTCAGTAATAACACGTAATGTACTTTTTCTGGTTTTCCAATTTCTGAGCAGCATAAGTGTGTTTTAGGTTGTCAGGAATGACATAAAATTTCCCAGTGACTTTTTTTTTTAAATGGAGGTACTGGGGATTGAACCCAGGACCTTGCGTATGCTGAGCACATGCTATACCCCACCCTCCCAGTGAGGTCTTTATCAAAAGACATGATAACCCTGATATCAACATAATCATCATCAGTCACGATTTACCGAGTATGTTTTAAGAACCTGGGACTGAACTAATAAACTGTTCTCTTATAAAAATCAACTTTTCTGCTTGGAAGATTCCTTAGTATAGGAAAAGGATGCTGTTGACCTGAAATTAGTAGAATACTTAATTTTTCTTGTTTACCTTGATTGTGAAAATTAACTTCCACTTAGCTGTAAACACACACATCATATTTGCAATATTAGATGAACATGTGCCCACAGACAGTAATTAAAGAGCCATCATCTGACCTGGATGCCTTTGTAACTTCCAAACAGAAAACTTGATTTTTATAAGAGGACAGTTTATTTTGTTCATTAACAAATGTTTACTGACTGTATAAGGCATTACACTAATTTTTGCTGTGAGGTGTACAGATAAGTAACACATGTATTCACCTCAAACGTATTTTACTGTAAGTTAGGAAACTGATGAGGTATGTATGCAATAACCAGAGTACAATTTAGTTTTGCCCACTCTTCCTGGTGTTGTGAGAACCAGAGAAAGAGCAACAAAACTTCCAGAGAGATGACACCTCTCTTTGGGGCCTGTCATATGTGGATGTGCCTTTACTGAAAAACAAACATGCTTTCGGCCAGGGCAGCAAGACACAAACTTTAGTGACTGTCAGAATCCCCTGGAGGGCTTGTTAAAACACAGTGCTGGGCCTCATCCTCAGGATTTCCCATTCAGCGGGCCTACGGCGGGGCTGGAGATGCTGTATTTCCAACAAGTTTCCAGGTGACGCTGAAGTTCCTGGTTGAGGAAACACTTTAAAAAACCACTGGATTAGAGACTCCCCAAATTGGTGCATAGTAAAAATTTCCTGGGGAGCATTTTCTTTCTTCGTTTATAAGCATTTCCTTTCCTTTCTTCCCTCTCTTCCTTCCTTCTTCCCATTTTTCCTTCCTTCCTTTCTTCTTTAACCTGGATTTTCCTCCTCTTCACTCTTAAGAGACTCACTGCATCTGTGCCAAGGAGCAAAAGTCAGCACCTTCTGAGAGCTCATAGCATCATTTGCTGAATTCCAACTCAGTCAACTTTCCTTCCCACTGTTCTGGGGGAGGTTAGATAGCGGGAAGGAATGAGTGGAGGCAAAATGGGAGTTGCCCCGGGTGGCAGAGCTGCGATTCGAACCAGGTTTTCTGACTCCAAGACCAGGGCACTTTACCTGTGGTTTCAACATATCAGTATCTTTTGGAGAATTATCATTTGATAATTGAGGGTTTTTTTTAAAAATAAGGTTGTAAAGATAGCTTTTGTGTGTTTACATCACATTCATTTTCATTAATAGTTAACATATTAAAATTTTGATTTTAAGTTGAAGAGACAACTTAAGTATCAAGTAAATCTACTGACAAATCTCATGATTATTAATTACTCAATTTGTTTCTAAATTTAAGATATTAAATTTCCCCAAGTATTTAATAACAACTTACAAATTTAATTCATGTATTATTTTAAACATCTCATTAAAGTAATGCAAATTATGGTCTAACTATTTAAAAATCTTTGTAAGCGTGATTTATGTATCTAAAACTTTTAATGTAAAATAAGTAACAGGTTTTGTAAAGGACTTCAAACAGATAAGAAGGTAGAATTACAAATCAAACACACAAAATATTCTTAAGTACTCAAATGATACTTAAAAACCTAACAAAGATTTGATGATTCAAATCTAAACTCATAAATTTTGTTAAAAACTTACCAAATAATATTAAATCTTTTTAAATTAAAATCACACAAAAAACATTTTTAAGTTACAAGTTCACGTTAGATTTAAAAACAAAACAACTTGTATTTTTCAGACAATTATACACTGTTCAAATTTCCCATTTTCTTTCTGATTTATTTCCTGCAGCTGCGGTCACCTAGATTTGCCCCTAAAGTTCCAAATTGGTATGAAAATATTGACTGCAAGGATTTGATTTTATCGTTATTTTCTCTGTGCTGCCTTTTACATCTTCCTGGAGTTGCTAAGTCATTTATCATCTCTTTACTCAAAAAATTTCAGGCTGTGGTTAGAGATTCTGGACAGGAAGCTAGAAGTAGGGGCAGTTCCAGAATAATTCTACCTGAGCTACCTACTAATACACCAACCCTCTTCATGTAGAAAGGAGGCTTTTCAGTCCTTTGCCTTTTCTTGAAAACAGTTTCATCTAGTTACTTCTTGGTCATTTTGTTTCTTTACTATAACTTATGACACAACTCTTACCATAACCCCTTCATAAATTGCCTAGTTGGGGTGCACGATGTCCCATATCCACCCTAACAAACTACCATGTCTGTTACTTTGCAACCCAAGGTTCCAACTGGTACAGGCAGCCAAGGGGAGGCTGCAGAGGTGACAGGGAAGGTGTACTCAGCAAAGAAAGGGCTTCAGGCCTTACCCAGGCTTCGGTCAGACTGACCACACTGTTACTCATTCTGCAGATTTCATTTTAAGAAGGTTTGAAATCATCTTATTGCTAAAAGGTTTAAAATCACTCCATTCATGACCGCTAAAGGTTTCAGTAATGAAACCTTAAAACCAGAGAATTTTAAGGACACACAGAAAGATGAGATCTATCGCAGAAAATACGTCTGAATTAAAAAAAAAAAGAGAGAAACTTGAGGCAGCTTTTAAAATTCATGAGGTTTCAAAGAAAAGAGAGAAATCAGGAAATATTTCCACGTGAGAAGCCTCAACACCTAAAACTTGAGGACTAGGCAGTACAGCAGATCATAGAAGGTACAAAGGAAGGGCTTCAGGGTGTCCTGATTAAACAGAGATAAGAAACATGGGCTCACTACTTCAAAGACCCTGAGGGGAATGCGTGAGAAAGACAGCACATGTTACAAGGACTTCTACGGAGAAACTGACAAGGAAAAATGAAAGCTCAAAGTTTCATACTCAATTTCTCAGCTTTTCTAGAAACGAGAGCATGGGATGTGCTTTAGGATCAACTAGCCAGGCATACAAGCATAGGAACAGGATTCAAAGACACAAAGAAACTGGTGCTGCTGGGAGTTTTCCTGGGAAGTGGTGTTTGTGGCCTATCAGTTTCCAGGGGCATTGGAGCCAAGGTGGCCAGAGGTCAGAGCAACGCACGCCATCAGCTGCGGAATCCACGGCTCAGCCTGGAGGCCAGTGAGCTCAACAAACTGGTCCTGGGGAGTAATTTGGACCACAGTTCTGGCAACGTGGCTTTCCTTTGTTTCTATCTCCTGAGCTTGATTCTCCAGTTTTCACAGAGATTCTTTGATCTGTCCAATATAACTAATTGTCAAGAAATGATGGGGGGAATCCAGGATTTACTCTCTGGTCTGACTGGCGCTGAAGACAGTAAAACTGGCCAGTAATAAGGGATCGATGTGGGCAGCCTATAAGACGCAATAACTAAAAATTCATCAGATTATCAGCTGTGGTCACTCTGAGCGATCAGGCCTATTCATGGCAAGGCTTTGGAGGGCCACACAGTCCCTAAGCATCAGCTGAACAAAGTGACCAACTCCGTGGATGTCAGTCATCCTTCCTAAACACCCCTTTGCTCACTGGCCCGTGAATGAAGTCAAATGGTGACAAGGACATAGACTCAAAACATGGACTTCCTTTTACTGGGCTACCACCACTGCTGAGTGCCCAGTCTGCCAGCTGCAGCCAAGCCTGAGCTTCCAGCACATTCTCCAGCCACTGAACAATTAGATTCCTTCCCTCTCATGCTGGGAAATACTGTCTTCTACTGAACTAGAATCCTACCTGTATTAGCCTTCTTTTTCTGTCAGCCATTGACCTACCAAACACATTATTTACCACCGTAATTTTGCACACAACATTGCTTCTTCCCTAGGAAATCGCTTTACGGTGAAAGAGGTATTGTAATCCTGACGGAATCCATTAGTCTTATTACATATTCCATTAAGAAGAAGCAATAACAAAATAGTGATAGAAGCTATTAATGAGCCACTCCTGCAGCAACCAGACGACAACACCTGAGTTTAGGTGCACGCTGTTCTTGAAACTAGAGGTTGGTATTGGTCCTGTTTCTCCCACAGTCTCATCTGGGAAGACAGCCGGGTGGGTGGGCACCTCTCACCAAATGACTCACTTGTAAAAATTTTGCTTTGTCTCCAGAAGTCTGGCACCCCTGCCGATGCTGCCTCCAGAACTCTGTGTTGCTTAAACCCCTACTGTCTTCTGAAAGCGCACAGACACATGGAACTGCAGAGTCTAGGTCTTGTGATTAAAGGTGTCAGGGCCTCAGAAAGAGAACTTATATCAGGAGCAGCAACAGCGGTCCCATGAATTGGATGATGAGGGGTCCTGTTGAACTTGTGACACTGCACAAACAGATTAAAAAAGGAGAGTTATTTATGTGGTTTGCAGAGTGACTGCTCCTGACCCTGAACAAAGGGGAAGTTGGATTTTTGCTACAGAGTAAGAGGCCAGTCAGAAAGGCACAGGACAGAAACTAGATAATCATCTGAGTATTTCCTGGGATTTTCATGTCCTGCAGCAAAATTAAGAGGAAAATATAGGAACTTCATATAGCCAGAACTATCAAAGGTCTATGTTCTTTTGGGTCACCTCACCAGATAAGGAACTTTCATCAGCTGATGTATTGGCTGAAGACAAAAGGATCATAGAAAGGACAGAAATCATGCATTCCAACAACAGCTTTGTGACAGTTGTGGAAATTAAAAATGTGACATAACCCTGTGTTCCATTCTGTCTTTCCTCCCTTGAATGCCGCTTTATACAGAAATGGGTTGTTGGTGGTTTCTTTACAGTTTTGTCCATAAGTTACATGATATTGAGGAAAGGCTACGATAAAACTAGTGGAAATTGGACTTTGCGCCAAGTAGGAAAAAAAAATGATTAGATTTCTGCTTGTTCCTTAGAGGATAAAGTAAGTGCGATTTTGGTTATGTGGTAAATACACTGCATTCTATTAGGGAAATTATTTTTGAACCATTAAGAATGGGTAGAAAAGTACATGTTGATATTATGTAACTGAAGGTGTACACTGTGGTGGACAACTGCCATTTATCTATCTGTCTGCCTGTCTGTCTGTCTATCTATCTAAATATCTATCTACCTATCTATTTATTGGTGGGAGTGTGGGTTGCATGGTATAGGAATTCTCATTCTATATTCAAGTAATTGTCCACTTTCTCAGCTCCCCTGACAGTGGGCACAATCTGTTATCTAAGCTCTGCCAATAAACAGCATCTGTCCTAGATTTTTAATCAAGAGAAAGTGATACACGAAGCACAGACAGGGGAGATCGCCTCAGGAGGTGGTAGGGTTTTAAACAGCATGGTCTCCAGAAGGCACTGGCGTTGGACCATGGAGGCACCTTACAACCAGGGTCAGAAGTGTGGCTGAAGTG